CCGTAAACAAGAAAAGCCCCCTTTCGATTCTTGTGTGTAAGCAAAACAGAAAATGAAAAAGTGAAAGATTTGTAGTTTTCTATCGCCACCCTACCGACACAGTCCGAGCTTGGGATAATCTTTTAGGTAAATACCGTGCATTGATATATTGCTTAAATGGAATGATAAGTAAATCCTCTTCTTTTTGTTCTGTTTTTTGAATCGAATATTTCTTAAAGCAACTTTTCATTTTAATCACAGAACCACCATCTGAGAGGTCGAAGGGGAATGACACCATTGATGAAAACTTGGAGACAATTCAACTATGGGCAGATTCTACGGAATTCTGTCCAAAAGGCACTATTCCGATCAGAAGAACCACCGAAAAAGATATTCTTCGATAGGTAAATCCTCTTCTTTTTGTTCTGTTTTTTTAATCGAATATTTCTTAAAGCAACTTTTCATTTTAATCACAGAACCACCATTTGAGAGGCCAAAGGGGAATGACACCATTGATGAAAACTTGGAGGCAGAATCTATGGAATTCTGTCCAAAAGGCACTATTCCGATCAGAAGAACCACCGAAAAAGATATTCTTCAAGCACGTTCAGTAAAAATACGGTGGTTCCTATATTTGGAAGAAAGATCTGGATATTGTGAACAAAACGACATCCGTTTATCTCATGTTACTGTTTATGAGTCTTTCCTATACTCAGCTTGGATCAGGTTAGCCACAGATGTCGATGAACACAAGAGAAAGGTTCGTTATACCCTTAAATTTGTTCTCCATGAGGCGCTCGATTCAGTTTGGGTTCTCCATTTATGCGATATGACTGAAGTTTTAACTTAAAGTAATTGATTAAGCATTCAATTTTGCTGTTGAATTTATGTTGTTTAACTCAACCCTAAGGCTCATAGATTGATATGACCAATAGGGTATGCAAATTCAATTTGGGTTCTCCATTTTTCTTGAAGTTCATGAAATGCATCCCAGTTCCTATGCGTTAAATTATGGGATTTTTCTTACAAAAATAAAGAAGGTTATTGATATATGGGACTAATTGTTTTTCCATGAAAAGTTTGAAAAACTTTATCATTATGAAAATCTTGAAAATTATCCCACTCTTTTGTTATTGGCAGGTTTTTCTGTAAATATGTGCATAATGTCTGAAACAAATGAGGGTTCTAAAGACCTTAATCTTGTGGATAATGTGAAAAAAATTGAAGTAAACAATGACTCATCTACACAAGAAATCCCAAAGGATTTAGAAAAAGAAAAGGACAATCCCATGCCCACACCAGCCTGTGACAACCCGAAATTTCCATTCTAAATCAAACCATTTCAATCCAATAGTAGTAGAGCAGTTACAGTGAAAATTCAAACTTTTAGAATATAAGTTTGGCAGTTTTAGGGTTTTACACCAAAAAGGGGTATTAGGAGAGTGGTTGCACTAGGATTTTGTGCAACACTGTAAATTCCGTTACCCTAGAATCATTAGAATCCATTCCGAGATTAGAAATATTTTCTGCCAAAAATCTCAGGACTATAAATAGAATTCTGAACCAAATTGGTTCATTAGTTGAATTCCATTTAGAGAAAAGCCCATTTCTCTCTCACGGATCATCGGGTTTTCATCCCAGATTGTGAGTCTACTTCCCTAGATGTGTTTTAATACTTGTTATATGCTTTATAACATTGTTACATGTCCAAAATCATCCAAGATCACAAGACTTTTGGAGTTTACGGCCAAGGGTTTCTTGGGCCGTAAACCCCATTTCCAAGGGACAAATGTGCCCTAACTCACCCCTTAAGCCTAAGGACTTTAACCCTCATATGCTTGTGACTATTTTAGACATCAAAACACTTCAAAATCATAAGTTTATAGGAGTTTACGGCCAAGAACATTTCTTGGGCCGTAAACCCCTTTTCCAAGGGCTAAAAGTGCCCTAATCACCCCCAAAGGCTTGGACTTCATGTTAGACAAATACCCTAAAGTATCTAGGACCTAGAAAACATAAGGAAAGCACATATGTTGAAGAGTTTACGGCCAAGAGTAATTCTTGGGCCGTAAACTCCTTTAAAGGGGTCAAAGGACACCCTAAACACTTCCTAAGGCCAAGGGACAATTTTGACAAGTACCTAGATGAGTTATGGACTAGCTAAAACATTTAGAACCCCATGTTTGAGGGAGTTTACGGCCCAAGATGTTCTATGGCCGTAAACTCCAAGAAATGGTACCAAATGGTGCCATAAATCCTCTTAAGGCCAAGTACAAAAGCTTAGAATTGTTCCTAGTTATTTGAGAGACTTGAAGGCACCATAATCACCCTCCCAAGGGAGTTTACGGCCGTAAACTCCAAGGGAAAAGGGTCTTTGGGCCGTAAACTCCCCAAAGGAGTCAATATGGTGCCCAAACACTTGTATATGCCTTGAAACAATTCCCACTAAGGTTGTAGTAATTGAAAGTACCATCCCAAGCCTTGGTTGGGAGTTTACGGCCAGGAACTTACTTCCTTGGGCCGTAAACTCTAATGAATATGGTCTTTTGACCTTAAACTCACATTAGGGGCATTGCACTCCTTTGTTGCAACCCTTTAGCCTCCTAGCACTTGACCAAAAGTGTTATCCTCGCGCTTAAATGTTATTACTTGTATAATTAGTGTTATAATCACTAATTATTTATATACATATGTTTTCATATGTAATTAGGATCATTGTGTGTGTCTAAGTCTCCACTTGACACCAAGCACTTGTCCGATCCTTCCGTACGATAACAGTCCGTTCAATTCCAGTCACTTACCGCAGGTGAGTTCATACCCCTTAACTAATGTTTTAAACTCTTTTTAAATGTTTTATGGGGGGGGGGATACAAGTAGAATCATGCTACTTATTATGTCAATCACATGTGATTAGCAAGTAGGATTATATTACTTATTACATCAATCACATGTGATTAATATACAGCAATCAAATGATTTGGCTACTCATTAGCCGTTTTACCAAACAGTTTCCTTCAAATGACTTTTTATAACATTTTATACGTTTTAAACTCCTTTTTACACTGTACAGCTTACTCCGTACATTTCCTTTCAAACTTATTTACAACTGTGTTTCAAACAAATGTTTCCTTATACTTAAACTGTTTTATTAAACTTATGCCTTCAAATTGTTTTATAGATTGACACCAAGTCGATCTTTTCTTAAAATAATACTTATATTTCAAATGTCTTACAAATCTTATTTATGCTTTTATATTATAAATTGCATGCCTCTATATGTATACTTATATAAGAAATGTTTAAAAGACTTAGGAAGGCTATCCACCCTATTTCCTTTTCGCGCCTTGAGATGTGGTCTGGTGGGATTTTGGGTATTCGTCCGAAGGTCGTTTAAGTTATATATCATGTATATAGTCATAAAACAGTTCATCCTATGCCCTTGGGTAGCAAGGGTATACATCCATGTCCATACGTACACTTAGATTACTAGAAAGCTACCATATGGGTAGTTCAGGAAGATACTAGAACCATTACTAGAACGCGATATCATACAATGAGTCAGTTCATTCATGAGTCAATACTTTCTAGAACATTTCAATACAGTACATATACAACTATACTAGGATGAGAACATATACAACTATACTAGGACGAGAACATATACAACTATACTAGAACGATTACATTACAATACTTGCTAGATAGAGAGAACACACATTACAGCTAGCACACGTAGAACATTACAGTACACTACTGTACTATTACATGATCGCTCTTACTTGAGTACAATTACATGATCACACTTACATATACATAGAACAGACGTCATTAGGTGCTATAGCACGGAACCAGTTCAGGATCTAACTATACTGATGAATCACACCACAATTGTGATAGTTATATCGAGTATACATGATCATTCGGTAATGTGGATGCTCACGGCTTGCGTTCATGCAGGGGTCGTGGGTAGGTCCCAAAATCCCTTTGATAGGGGAGCGTATAGTCTGGGATCTAGACATCACATTATACCTTATCCCTCAAATAAGGCAGTTGAGTACCGATGTAGTTATTTTTATTAAATACTACAGTACTTGGAAGTATTACCCTAGATTTAAGGTAATAAGTACGGTTGTAGTTGGACACTACACCATAGTACTACATTGATTTTCCATTACATATTTTTAGTGATAACCTCACTTAAACATTATTGTACAAACTATATTTTTGAATAATGATAGTTATACTTTGGAAAATACATCCTCTTACAAGAGACACACACATTCAGAACAGTTAGGTCTTGGTAGAAGACTACATTCAGAACAGTTAGGTCTTGGTAGAAGACTACATTCAGAACAGTTAGGTCTTGGTAGAAGACTACATTCAGAACAGTTAGGTCTTGGTAGAAGACTCCTTTTGTTATTAATAGGAATCATAGGGATTCTAGGGTTTTTCAAACACTTACAGTTCATATACACTTTCAATACTTTTAAGTACATATACTTACATTTTCTCACATACAAATTAAGACACTAAATACTTATGATCTCACCAGCTTTAAAGCTGATACTCGCTTTCAAAATTACTTGTATCCTCAGGTCATCATAGACAGGTACCGATGCAAGGAGAAAGGAAGATGGAGCTTGTTCAAGACTTATCTTTCATTTTGATTTATGCTTTAGTGTTTATCAAAATTTGACAGAACACATTTGTATAATAATTATATTATTAATGCAATGGATGATGTTGTTGCTTGTTTACTACTTTACATTGTTGTTGATATTATACATGACGTCCTCCGCCCCAGAACGTTTCCGCCGTTCCTGGTTTTGGGGTGTGACAGATTGGTATCAGAGCATTGTTTATAGTGAATTAAGTATATCAACCCATAAAAGATATACTAACTATAAATACATAAGGGATTAAAAATACTCTGACCAAGAGTTTATACTTTAAATAGTAAAATATTTAAATAAGTATACGTGCTGCATTCATACTAAAATCAGTGTCACTAGGACAGTACAAAAGAATTACGATTGTTGGACAACACAAGTGGGCTTAGAGACATATGGTCAAAACTGGGAAGATATAGCCTGATCGCCTATATTATCCGAGGGTTGACTAGCATGTGCCTAAGTTTAAGTGTGTGGTTGCAACAATGCTAAAATCTTACCAACCCTACCACAATGAGAACAATAGAACATAACATTAAAATTTAAATACTATAGGTGTATTTGGTGTTACTATAAGTACTTTATACTTGAGAATTAAAACGGGATCTTCATTACTAAGTTGATAGTTGCTAAGTGGATACACTAAGGCTACATGTAATTAGGATGTTATAGACTTAGAATCAGTGATAATTTTGCCTTACCCCTATTCTGTGTGAATTTGGAATTAAGGTCACTTATTCGAAGGTCTATCCTGTTTAGATTACACATAGCTGGTATGCACTTCACAAATGGGCGATGTAACTAATGAAGATTTTCTAAATAATTATCTAGATAGTTTGTCTAATAATTATTCTCTTACCCTAAATTCTCGCATAGAAATCATAACTGGACTCCATCCCCTTGACAAACGTTATCTTCCGAATGAAGTCATAGCTGGTTGGTTTGGAGAATAACCAGAGAATGATCATCTTGTTCCCCTTGAATGATCACCATGACGAAGACCTTTCGTATGATGCTAACTCCGAACCAGAGTTTGAGAACCTACCCCGAGCAGCTCCCTTTCCCATTTCCTAACCCTCGTCCGGCTTTTCATGGCCCGACCCTGAGAGAGTGGAATGCTTGGAAATATGGAGCCAAGAACAAGATCAGGCTATGCTATTTGATGGCGACTGAAGCCTTTACGACTTGAGCAATGAGGGCTTAACAGATATAGTCTTGCCAATCTTGGTCCGTAGAGAGGCCCGAAATGAGATTCAAGGCAGGACAGCCCTACATCAGATTTCAGAAATAGTCGCCTACGCTAGAATGCATACCCTCCACACCATTCATCTAGGAGATGCACACGAGAGATCAGAGAGAAGCCATGAAACCCTGCTACAAGCACTGGCCGAATCACGAGCCGAAGTCATAGAGCTCCGGGTACGCCATATGGTGTGCGAAAGACACCTACTTGACATGGAACGTCAATTGGTTGAACTACGAGTTCACCAGAGGGATGACCGTCGCCAGTAGTAGACGCTTTACTTTATTTCCCTTATACAAAGGAATCGTATTTTTCTGTCTATGCCGGATGTGGCATTTTCTATGAAATTATCTTGTACCGTAAGTACTTTAGTTAGGTCTTTATGCTGTCAGGAACTATCTTTAGTGGATATGATGTAAGACCTTTACAAGGTCATTTTCCAGAATCTTTACATCGTGAATATCACAGATATTGACAGCCGGCTAACTTCTGTGTCATTCTTCATTCAAGTACTCTTGTCATTCATTCATAAGAGTCTATCTGAATCATGCTTTAGTCAAATCATTGGACTATAGCGATTTATCTCCGGAGACACTTCCAAGTCTCTTTCAGTGGTTGGATCTTGTTATTCACCAACTCACGATACCTCAGCTCGAACGACAAACATCTTGAGACCATTCTACGAACTTACTTCCACACGTGACTAGGACTGCATCATAGGGATGTAGGTCCAACTTTCGAGAACATACTTCTACTCTTTACATGAACAATCTAAGTACATCAGGGTCAACCAAAGTCGCTCACAAATCCTTATCTTTCGTATTACAGAATCATGTCGTCATCCGGAAACAACCAGCCAAGCAACGAGACCTCTACTTTTTCGATGGACGCCACTACCTTTCAAACGACATTAACAGCTGCTGTAGTGGCTACCGTAACCGCGGTCATTGCGCACCGTAGCGCTAGCAGCACAGTCGATACTGCTGATGGGAATGAAGTTCCAAATCGTGAAATCCATCCAGGAAGTCACCAAACAGTAACAGTCACAGGCTCGCAAAGCCAGAAAGCAGAGAACAAGAAACGAAAGCGTCAAGCCCGGAAGGAACGCAAGAGAGCCCAAAAGCTGGCTATACAATAGCAGCAAGTGGAAACCCCTTCCGTTCCCGTACCGAGCAGGCCATATGAGGGAAAACTCCCTAAGTGTGATAAATGTAGTTTCCATCATCATGGGACTTGCCATGAGATGCAATGTTGCAATTGCCTAAACATAGGGCATCATGCTCGTGATTGTGGAGCACCGAAACGACCCATCACTCAAGTCCCTTTCATTGAGACTGACCCTGCGCGCAAGACGAGTTATAGCGTAGAACGATTTAAGAAGCAATTTTCAAAGTGGAGTAACGAGGAGGGCACTCGTGTCCATATAACACTAGCTAAGCACCGTAATTCCGTCACCAAAGCTAGTACTAGCCAGACATGCCACCAGTGTGGTGAGACAGGGCACTTCAAGAAAGATTGCCCGATAATGCAGAATTCTGGCGCAGATGGGAAGATTCTCAGGATCACAGCTATAGGAGAGCCTGCTCAGGAACCACGTTAATGTAATTAAGGCGTTTCGTTGTAACAGACTTAAAAACTATCTAGAACTAGTGCAACTAGAGTCTTACCTTTTGCGAGATCCTGTCTGTATAGGGACTCTCGTGCTGCATATACTTGTCTTTTGTAGTATACCTTATTCGCAGCAATAGTCTTGTGGTAAACCTAAAGTACTGTAACTCTGTTCATGGTTGCACGGTTGTGTTTTGTCTGTAAACGTCTTATGTTCAAATCTAATGTCTTTAAGTTTCGGTATGATTTCGACATTATCATACGACTCGATTCAATTTGATCCTCACGAAAACAGCTTCATATGTACACCCCTTTCTTCTAGATCACTTTTCCAGCGAAACCGTCACATCAGAACCCCGAGGCACTCATGCCAGGAGTACCTATTAGTTATTTTCTTTCCGAAGAAATCCCCGAAGTACCACTCGTGCAGTACGTCAAGTTTAATCCAGGGATTCATGGGGTTGATCTATCACTGAAGAATGTATGCATAAGAGTGATATATAATCAAGGTTCTACAGGTTTAGAATTGATGATTCCACTTTAAATTCTTTTTCCCCGATGGGATGTGAACTTAAAGAAGAACCAGTTATTCGATTACCTTTTCAACCTTAATTATATATGACTCATATACACGAAAGGGTGACTGTGAAACTAGGTATGAATTCTAATATGAACTTCAGGACGGAGAACTGCCTAAGTACGAGTAATCACATCGTCATGAGAACAAGCATAGAACCCAGTACGACTCCCGAAAACAGGTCGCCCTATAGTTTAAACACCCACGGAGATACAAGAACAGTTTGGACAACTTAGCGAACTACACATAAATAGAATTAGAAGACTAGGTTCTCACCCTAGAGAACCTCGGTCATATTCTTCCAGAGATCGACGGATCGCATTGCATGTACCTCGGTTATTGAGGACTCCGTCGAGATTTTTCATTAGAAATCGTTATCTCTACCGCACGTAGACAAAATGGTTGAGCAAACGCAAAGAAAGAAACTACTTCCAGGAATGGATCCGGGATCCGAATATCACCAGTTCGAGTGTTAGGGAAAGATGTACGGAAGACTATCTCCTGAACTCGATACGGACACTTCAAGTCCGTAGTGATACCCTTCGGATAGGACCAATGCGCCCATAGCTTTTATAAGCTAAATGAGTAGGGTACGTCTTTCTTACCTGGATCAGTTCATCATTTCTCCTTGTAATGACTTACTTATCTACCCCTGTAGTAAGAAGGAACCCATGGGAAAACATCTCCTCCAGAGAAACTTTTAACGATGTTCTCAAAGCACGAGTTTTGAAATTGAAGAGTCAAATTTCTAAGACCCACTATTAGTAGTGTGGGAAATTTTGAGTACTCTTTCGATTTGTCAAAACCGTTGAGCATGTATCGACATCAGAGACGCCGACATTCCTTCGCCAAACTCTAGGTCTTACCGACCTACCGCCTTAGTGATGGGTTTTAGCCATAAGAACTTTCCTATGTGCGCATGCAAAACCCTAATGCTTGGATCTAGGATTTCTAATTAAACATGCTTTGAATCCAAGACTTCTAATGGCTAATTAGGTTAAATAACAACATTGAAACAGATCTAGAATCATACCTTTGAGTTCCTTGTTGATCTTGTTGTCTTGGAGCTTCTAGAGTCACAAATGTCACTCCTCTAATGGCTTACAAAAACCAATAGCAAGAAAGATGATTTAGGAGAGAGGAGAGGGGAGGAATTCGGCCAGAGTATCTCTACTTTAGTTGGTGTGTCAAATTCCCTCACCCCTAGGGTCTATTTATACTTGTAGACTCCTTAAGGATTACAGCTTTAACCCTAATTGGATAACTTAGACTTTAAGTTGATCCATATCCTTTCCTTGATAACCCTATGGACGATTTTGGCTTATCCAAGCCCTAGAAATCGTCCATCCTATCTAGGATAAGGATTTATAGTCTAAAGTGTAACTATCAAACAATTGACAGTTTATACCCTCTTATTTAATTAATCTCTTTAAGTCACCAAATTAATTCCAATTAATCTATGACTTATATTAATCAAATAACCATATATTATTCCTTATAATATTTACTCTCTCTTAACAAATCATCCATCAAGTTGCTATGGTGAAGGCAATCCAAAAGGACCATGCACAACCGGATCAAATACTTGCCTAATATAGTTGCAGCCTTAGACACTATTCCAACAGTCTCCCACTTGGATAAGTCTAGTAACTATACAAGTACAATTCGGTTTGCAATCGTAGCTCTCAAAGACGCTGTCAACTCTGATCTAATCAATCTTGTCCTTTAGATAAGGGATCTTACAGTCCTCTGTTAGATATCATGCTGACAATCCTATGGAATGGTTAGTCTAGCATTCGATTTCTCGATCTCTGATTTATTTGACATAGAACTTAATCAAACACATCAATTCAGTTCTGACCGGGCCCGGCACATGAGTCAAATCAAATCATCGAGTGGCCAAGATATCTCTTCTACCCTCTTAGGATAAAATTTACAGATAAACTTCGACTTATATGCATTTACTTATTCATTAACCAACTATACACAACAATGTGTTTTATAACACCAAGTTACTGATGCGTTTTCGCATTATCAATGTACAATCAATTAACAAATAATAAACCATATAGTGGATTACTACCAAGAAAAACCCCTTTAATCTCAAAGGTAATTCAATTTCCATTATTTTTTTTCTCTAATTATGGAAGAACTTGTACCTGTATTAACATAAAATATAATCTAAATCAACCAATCTAATGTAGTGTTTTGGATAATTTATTGGAAAAAAATTACCTGGATAGAAAGAGAGTGACGATTGTCGCGGATATTTACGGTTTTTCAGAATCGAATATTGCCATTGTTCACTGGATCAAGATCAAGCAAATTCTCAAACCTTCGGGATGATCCTGAAAAAACAAAAATAAAAAGTTCCAAAACACTACATTAGATTGGTTGATTTAGATTATATTTTATGTTAATACAGGTACAAGTTCTTCTATACCTCCATCTGAGCTTTCAGTAGAGCTAACCGATTTACAGGAATTCGAGATATGAGACACAGATTTTTATTGGAAAAAAAAGTACCTGGAGAGAAAGAGAATGACGATTTATTGGAAATAAAGCCCTAATCCTATTCCATTACTGAATTCCTGTAAATCAAAGAAGCAAATATCTTTTAGGGCCACCAACTTGCAAGTCACTTGAGTTTCGTGGGTGAATGGTTCAAGGAGGACAGTTGACCTTCATTGCATCTTATAGCGGAGGGTAAGTCATCATTTATACGCTCATTAAAAAATGAAATATATGAGACGCATCTACTTTGTTGTGTTGTTTTAACGTTTGTTTATTTGATTCTTTTCAGGGAGAAAGGAGCTTGCTTCTTTGACATATATTTTTTAAACTTAAAATCCTGATGGGTATTATGTTTTTTTAGTTACAAGGGCATAAATGGTAAGGGGAAGATGCTATTATGAGTAAAATTACAGGTTTGGTGTTGTTAGTTGTTGGTAAGTATTTTTGTTGTTTCAAATGATCAATTTACCCTCCATTTTGTTGTTGAAGTGACTATTTTGTCTTTTGTAGTGTTGTACAGGAATTTGATGTTCATAGTAAGAATGAGCTTCTTGCAAAAGAACGTGCTGAGTTTATCAAATTATTGCAGGTATTTTAAAATTTACAACTAACTATTTTAATGAATTTTTTGTTGGTTTATAATTTCATAACCAATTTTACATCCTTTTGTTTGTATTTTTCTGTTAACAGCAAGCCCAGATTGAGGCTGCATCTGCATTTGGAAATGATGGTGCTCATTTAGAAAAATAAATCCAAAATCCAAGGCACATTGAGTTCCTGGTAAGTGTTTTTGTGTTTTTTGTAATAGTGAAACCAAAAAAAAACAGTTTGTCCCTACTAACTTGTTGAGTGTCTAACTGCAGCTACATGCTTATTTGAGGTTCTTGCAGATAAATACGAAAATGTTGTTCACTTTGGAGAGCTTAACTGCAGTATTCATGTATGTACCCAAATGTTCTAATAACCAATAGATCCTATAGGAGAAAACATTTCTCTAGAATTCAATTCAACAGAACCTGCACCCTTCCATGTTGCAGCTTTGGCTTCTGGTCTTGCAATTGCTTCTCCAACAGAACAAACAACTGTAAGCCCTTTCTTTTTTGTTTTATTTAAATGTTGTAAGCCCTTTGTTTTTTGTTTTATTTTTTTCACTTATTATGTTTCTGTATGACACGTATCGACTTTTTAATTCTGTAATGTGCAAAAGATTAAGTGACTTAATTATATGTTTTGACTACCGATCTATTAAACTGTTTTTTAGATTACAATATATTTCCAAAAATAAAATCGACAAATATTATATTCGTTTTTAAATTTTTGAGTATATTTGTTAAGTTTCATATGATTTGAAAATATTTTTGGTAGGGATTTTGATAATTAGTATATTTGTTAATTTTGTAAGATTTTAAATATTTTTGGTATGGATTTTATTATTCATGGTAAGATTTTAATTTGCTTAATTTTGGAATGATTATCAATATCCAAAAATACAACATTATATTCTATAATAGATTATTCTACCTATAAATTTAAGTTATGTTCTTCATTTTTAACTCACAGCAAAATTTCACAGTTGAGGTTTTGGGACGATTTGATCATTGAGTTGGAATCGGGAAGACTGCTACACTGCTTCATTGCGTTTCTTGACATGGATTCAGGTTCTCTTTACTTCTTTTATATTTTGTAACTTCAAATGTGTATAATATTTTATTTCTTACTTCTATTTGAAGTGATAAACTTCTTTTGTTTCAACTGTTGATATTATTATGTCTTCTATCTAAATTGATCACTCTTCTTATTCTTTATCTCAAATAATACATGTATATAATTTGTATATATGTGTGTATGTATTTGTTTGTCTTCTATCTAAATTGATCAATCTTCTTATTCTTTATCTCAAATAATACATGTATATAATTGAATTCTAGGTGTGTATTTATTTGTTTCTGACATTCTACATATGTGTGGTTTGTATATGTATAAGTTAGGACATTTGTTTTGAATATTTTTAATCAGTAAATATCTTTTAATTATCAAATTGATTGTGGTATATGTTCTTTTGAAACTTGCCAAAGAAAAAACACCACAGTTTGTTTCTTCATTATCAATACTATATATTATCTTTATTATTATTATTATTATTATTATTATTATTATTATTATTATTGATGGGTTTTAGATATAATAATTTATACAATTAGACTTTTTTTTTATTTGACAAGTTACATTTTTATTAATAAATATTATTTGTTATTAATATATGCTTTAGGTTTTCTGTAATATTTAATAAATAAACCATGTAATAAAAACTCTTATTGCTTGGATATTTCAAAAGTTCGATACATATGTTATTATACTTTGAGCATCTCAAATCAATATAGTTTTTAATATAAATAATTAAATAAATCAATTCCACATGAATGCTATTTCGTTGGTCAAATTCAATTATGCAAGAAACTTGGAAACCGGATCTTGGACTTGGATCGGTTTCAGTACAGCCTTACAGCTTCCAATAATAAATCACCTAGAAAATCTATCCACATTAAAGCGCTATTTTTCATGTTATTATTCTTAATATTTTAATGTTTGATAGACTAAATTTTCGAAAATACAACTATCTGTTTTTCTATTTAAATATAACATAACTAACGTTAAGATATATAATCACAAAAAAAATAAGCCCACACCTTTAAGTTTATAAGCCCAAATCTTAGTTTAAAAAGAATGTAATTAGTTTTTGAGTATCACAACAAATTCAACAGTTTTTTAAACATCACAAATTAATGAGTATTTGCTTAAAACCCGAAGCTTTTATTCATAAAAATTATTGGTGTGGACTATAAAATGTATATTGTTTAATGTTTCAACAAATTGAACACTAACTTCAAGCTTTTTTAAGTACTAAATTATTTACTTTAATTTTAATACAATATGATATATACATTTTACCATGTAATAAAAACTCTTATTGCTTGGATATTTCAAAAGCACGATACATATGTTATTATACTTTGGTAATCTCAAATCAATATAGTTATTAATATAAATAATTAAATAAATCAATTCTACATCAATCACATCCGACTTTCGTTTTGTAGAATCATGAACGGTCATATTTACGTTGATGCATTTTCGTTGCTACTAAACTACCATTTGTGGTATGTTTTGACATCCGTTCGTGTTGATTTCATTTGGAGGGACTCAAGAGCAAACAAACTTTTCATGGTTCTCATTGATCAAAATGTGTGTTTACAAAACTATTTATATCTTATTTTCATTTTCATAATTTATCACAAGTATTTTTGTTTATAAAAATATTACGTTTTCTATTAGAGAGAGAAATTGTTAGCCGTTGTTCCACAACAAATGATGCGCTTTATTTATGGAGGGAATCTATTGGGTGGTGTGTTTTCTTTAAACCATTTCCAAATCGAACCAACCTATGCTGAGTATCCGAGATATCAAGAATACAGTTTATTACGTGGTGATTTGATGATTAAGATCAACGACAACACGCGGTTTAATCGTTTGGCCAATGCTATCATATCATGGTTTTCGGTTTTCCCATTGGTTCCCTTAATAAAAAGTTTAGTAGAAGATCGGACAGAGAGAAAAATGATGATCGATAAATTTAATAAATTGTATATATTTTCAGCATTCTAAAGTTTTTAAAATAATAACAAGTTGTCCTTTTAATTATCGTTATTTTTAGATATTGTTGGAAAAATCATCAGAGGCAAGCGAAACTATTCCCGTTACTCTGGTTTACTGACGTTAACTTCTTTCACTTTATATCTCCAAGATGGGCCGTAAGTGTTTATTATTATTATTATTATTATTATTATTATTAATATTATTATTATTATTATTGTTATTTTATTATTTTATTATTATTATTATTATGATTACACTAAAGCAAAATTAGGTGACTTTGGAAATATTTGATTATAAATAGAGGGAGTATAATAAAGATGAAACTACATATAACCGACCGAACATGCCATCAAATTGTGAGGACTGTCTATACGATAGAGAGAAAGTATATAATATTTGTTTCTCGGGTGAAATTGGTTCATTTGGATTCAAGTAAGTTTTTTCTAGAAAATTATAATACTTGTAGTGATATTAAAATACCTAAATCAATACATTTTAATAGTTTTTATCTTATTTTTAGTGAACATTTTGATATCAACCAAACTAAGCAACGTAGAGTTCCAACCGCGGATGCCGGAAGCATTTAACATCATAAATATGCCTAGAAGAATTTTTAATTCCGTGTGAGACATTTGGTGGTGTTTTTTTTGAAGTTTTGACAACTTTTACGAGTGCGTTGCTTTTATTGTTGATCTACATTAATGTTAGACATATTATGGTGAATTTTTTCATATATGGTTTATTTTTCTTGTGTTGACTTATGAATTCATAAATAATAATTTTTGGATATCTATGGAAATTTTCTTTTAGTTATGTATAACTTTCTTCTATTGTGTTTTTGGATTACAAGTTTTTAGTATATTTGTTTATTTATTAAAGGTTGTGTTGCTTTTTGAAACACACACATACATGACTACTAAATCACATGGTCTACATTACAAAATGTTACATTCTTGATGATATAATGTGCTTATTCTTAACATTTCCATTATAGTGTTCAATGGGGACTATAGATAAGGGAAACGAAAACTGTGATGATTCCCAAAACCCGATAGATATAGAAAAAGGTATGTCGTTTATATGAGTATATATTTGCATTTATAATATATAATTATTTATCCAAATAATATGTTTGTAGAAAATCGAAAAAGATACAATAGAAACTATTATGCACAAAAAAAGGAGAAAAACAAAAAGAGAAGAATAGCTAACGATGAAGGATGTAGTCAACCTACAACACTCACAAGTTGCACTATAATGGAGACAAACGAAACAAATATCAACGAAGATTCCTCTGTGAGTGTTATAAGTGCTGCTCAGAGGACGAGTACTTATAATAAAGAATATTATCAACAAAGAAAGGAACGAACTATGATGACAAAAAGAAGAGTATATGCCTTTCAGGAGGATCCGTATGATTTTGTTTATGAAAATATCCGTATGGAACATCGTATATTAAAGGCTCAAAACCCTTGTGTTTATTGTGGAGCAAAGCGACTACAATATGAATTCCCTACCTTTTGTTGCATAAGTGGGAAGACAAAACTGGCACACTCCCCTATTCCCACAGAGTTGCACTAACTCTTCACAAGGCAAGAGCAGCTAGAAGAAAGCTTCAGGTACAATATAAGGGCGTATAACTCAAACTTTTCTTTCGCATCACTAGGTGTAAATGTGGATAAAGAATTGGCCCATATGAATTCTGGAGTTTACACTTTTTGTGTGCACGGAACACTCTATCATAATATCGATCAGTTAATTTCAAGGGATGGTAAATCGAGGTATTTACAGTTGTATTTTTATGACGGTGAAGCTGAAATATCAAAGAGATCCTCCTGGAAGAATGTTGATAGAAGAATCATCCAAAAACTAACACATATTCTAGCTTCGAATCCGTACGTTAGAACATTTAAACAGCTTTCTGATCTAGGACCGCTTGATAATTATAGAGTGACTTTGAATGCATCGGTGGAGCTTGACCAAAGGGTGTACAATAAGCCTACCACATCTGAGGTGTGAATAGTAACATTTAACTTTATTCATTTTAAAATTAAATGTCTCATATTTATTGTTATACATATCATATTAATCACCATATTGAACTACACCTTTGCATAGGTTGCTGGTATTTGGGTTGAAGGAAATGACAACATCACTGCATATAAAAGAAGTATTATTGTCTACGGGAGGTCTAACTATAGTACTGAAATTCAACCTCACTTTGGTTGTTATGATCCTTTGTCGTATCCTTTATTCTTTCCCAATGGTGAGTCTGGATGGCATCCTAAAATACCAAGATATGGGGTGGCCATGGATGAAATTAATAGTGACAATGAAGACAATGATGAAGGTTTAGAAGGTACGCCTTTAACATTCTTTTACATATTTAAAACATGTAACAGGTATTGCCTTAAATATTTGGATATTAAATTTATATTTTTCACATAAATTATGATATCACAGGATCTACTTCAAAAAAAGGCAGAAACACTGTAAGTATGCGGGAGTACTATTGTTACAAGTTCCAGATACGGTCGAATGATAATGTGATTTTGATGGGAGGGAGATTGTTCCAGCAGTTTGCAGTAGATACCTATATAAAGATTGAGACTACACGTTTGGTTTTTTTTGAAAAGAACCAAACCAAAATTAGAGCTGATTTATACCAGGGCATTGTTGATTGTTTCAATACCGGTGAGGCTCAACCAAGTAGGGTTGGACAGAGAGTTGTGTTACCTGCAAGTTTCATTGGAGGTCCACGTGACATGCGCCGAAGATTTCTAGATGCCATGGCTTTAGTTCAAGATGATGGGAGGCCTGATATATTTCTTACAATGACTTGCAACCCAAAATGGAAAGAAATCGATGATGAATTATTGCCTAGACAGTCAACTCAAGATCGACCGGACCTTGTTACAAGAGTTTTTCATGCTAAGTTAGAGGATCTCAAGGTACAATTATTGTAGAGACATATAATCGGTGTGGTGGGGTCATATGTGTATGTGATAGAGTTTCAAAAGCGTGGATTGCCACATGCACATTTCCTCTTAATAATGACCCCTGGATATAAGATGAATAATCCAGACGATTATGACAAACTTGTGTATGCGGAAATTCCCGACCCAATAAGGTTTCCTGAAATGCATGATCTTGTCAAAAGTCACATGATGCACGGTCCCTGTGGTAGCTTACGAGAAAAAAGTCTGTGTATGCAGGGTGTGCCAAAAATATGTCGTTTCAGATATCTTAGGCAATTCAATGAAAAGACATCACAAGGAGAGGACTCATATCCATTATATAGAAGGAGAAATAATGGAATTGAGGTTACTGTAAGAAATACATCATTGGATAACAGATGGGTGGCTCCATACAACCTGAAGTTGTTAATGATGTTTAATTGTCATATCAACGTTGAGGTTTGTTCGAGTATAAAGTCTGTGAAGTACCTCTTCAAATATGTTTATAAGGGCCATGACAAACAAGTTATCCATATTGATAAAGACCAAGAAAATGTTGTTATTAATGAGATAAAAAAGTTTCAAGACGCACGTTATGTGTCCCCTCCCGAGGCATTATGGCGAGTTTTTAGCTTTCCTCTATCAAAAATCCACCCTTGTGTGATGGCGTTGCAAATACATCTCCCAAATCAATAGTTGGTTAGGTTCAAACACGGTGACAGAATGGAAGACATTGTTGATAGAGAGAAAGAAAAGGATTCAATGTTGACGGCATTTTTCAAGAAGAATAAAGAAGATTCCAAAGTGTCACACCCCAAAACTAGGAACGGCAGAAACGTTCTGGGGCGGAGGACGTCATGTATAATATCAATAACAATGTAAAGTAGTAAACAAGCAACAACATCATCCATTGCATTAATAATATAATTATTATACAAATGCGTTCTGTCAAATTTTGATAAACACTAAAGCATAAATCAAAATGAAAGATAAGTCTTGAACAAGCTCCATCTTCCTTTCTCCTTGCATCGGTACCTGTCTATGATGACCTGAGGATACAAGTAATTTTGAAAGCGAGTATCAGCTTTAAAGCTGGTGAGATCATAAGTATTTAGTGTCTTAATTTGTATGTGAGAAAATGTAAGTATATGTACTTAAAAGTATTGAAAGTGTATATGAACTATAAGTGGTTGAAAAACCCTAGAATCCCTATGATTCCTATTAGTAACAAAAGGAGTCTTCTACCAAGACCTAACTGTTCTGAATGTAGTCTTCTACCAAGACCTAACTGTTCTGAATGTGTGTGTCTCTTGTAAGAGGATGTATTTTCCAAAGTATAACTATCATTATTCAAAAATATAGTTTGAACAATAAAGTTTAAGTGAGGTTATCACTAAAAATATGTAATGGAAAATCAATGTAGTACTATGGTGTAGTGTCCAACTACAACCGTACTTATTACCTTAAATCTAGGGTAATACTTCCAAGTACTGTAGTATTTAATATAAATAACTACATCAGTACTCAACTGCCTTATTTGAGGGATAAGGTATAATGTGATGTCTAGATCCCAGACTATACGCTCCCCTATCAAAGGGATTTTGGGACCTACCCATGACCCCTGCCTGAATGCAAGCCGTGAGCATCCACATTACCGAATGATCATGTATACTCGATATAACTATCACAATTGCGGTGTGATTCATCAGTATAGTTAGATCCTGAACTGGTTCCGTGCTATAGCACCTAGTGACGTCTATTCTATGTATATGTAAGTGTGATCTTTTAATTGTACTCAAATAAGAGCGATCATGTAATAGTGCAGTAGGGGTACTATAATGTTCTACGTGTGCTAGCTGTAATGTGTGTTCTCTCTATCTAGCAAGTATAGTAATGTAATCATTCTAGTATAGCTATATATGTTCTCGTCCTAGTATAGTTGTATATGTATTGTATTGAAATGTTTCTAGGAAGTATTGACTCATGAATGAACTGACTCATTGTATGATATCGCGTTCTAGTACTGGTTCTAGTATCTTCCTGAACTACCCATATGGTAGCTTTCTAGTAATCTAAGTGGTACGTATGGACATGGATGTATACCCTTGCTACCCAAGGGCATAGGATGAACTGGAAGGACCTTTTATGACTATATATGTACACATGATATATAACTAATATTTAAACGACCTTCGGACGAATACCCAATATCCCACCAGACCACATCTCAAGGCGCGAAAAGGAAATAGGGTGGATAGCCTTCCTAAGTCTTTTAAACATTTCTTATATAACTATACATATAGAGGCATGCAATTTATAATATAAAAGCATAAATAAGTTTTGTAAGACATTTGAAATATAAGTATTATTTTAAGAAAAGATCGACTTGATGTCAATCTATAAAACAATTTGAAGGCATAAGTTTAATAAAACAGTTTAAGTATAAGGAAACATTTGTTTGAAACACAGTTGTAAATAAGTTTGAAAGGAAATGTACGGAGTAAGCTGTACAGGGTAAAAAGGAGTTTAAAACATTTAAAATGTTTATAAAAAGTCATTTGAAGGAAACTGTTTGGTAAAACGGCTAATGAGTAGCCAAATCATTTGAATGCTGTATATTAATCACATGTGATTGATGTAATAAGTAATATAATCCTACTTGCTAATCACATGTGATTGACATAATAAGTAGCATGATTCTACTTGTATCCCCCCCATAAAACATTTAAAAAGAGTTTAAAACATTAGTTAAGGGGTATGAACTCACCTGCAGTAAGTGACTGGAATTGAACGGGCTGTTATCGTACGGAAGGATCGGACAAGTGCTTTGGTGTCAAGTGGAGACTTAGACACACACAATGATCCTAATTACATATGAAGACATATGTATATAAATAATTAGAGATTTAATCACTAACTATACAAGTATAAACATTTAAGTGCGAGGACAACACTTTTGGTCAAGTGCTAGGAGGCTAATGGGTTGCAACAAAGGAGTGCAATGCCCCTAATGGAAGTTTAAGGTCAAAAGACCATATTCATTGGAGTTTACGGCCCAAGGAAGTAAGCTCCTGGCCGTAAACTCCCAACCAAGGTTTGGGATGGTACTTTCAATTACTACAACCTTAGTGGGAATTGTTTCAAGGCCTTTACAAGTGTTTGGGCACCATATTGACTCCTTTGGGGAGTTTACGGCCCAAAGACCCTTTTCCCTTGGAGTTTACGGCCGTAAACTCCCTTGGGAGGGTGATTATGGTGCCTTCAAGTCTCTCAAATAACTAGGAACAATTCTAAGCTTTTGTACTTGGCCTTAAGAGGATTTATGGCACCATTTGGTACCATTTCTTGGAGTTTACGGCCATAGAACATCTTGGGCCGTAAACTCCCTCAAACATGGGGTTCTAAATGTTTTAGCTAGTCCATAACTCATCTAGGTACTTGTCAAAATTGTCCCTTGGCCTTAGGAAGTGTTTAGGGTGTCATTTGACCCCTTTATGGGAGTTTACGGCCCAAGAACCATTCTTGGCCGTAAACTCTTCAACACTTGAGCTTTTCATGAGTTTTCTAGGTCCCAAACACTTTAAGGTATTTGCCTAAAATGAAGACTAAGCCTTAGGAAGAGTTTGAAGGGATTTTGGCACTTAATCTTGGAGTTTACGACCCAAGGAGCTACTTGGCCGTAAACTCCCTTCTAGAATTGATTTCTAATTGTTTTGTTGGCCTAAATCATGAGTTTAAGGCTTCTAGGTTTTTGTTCTAAGGCTAAAGGAACATTAGGCACTCATTTGTGCCCTTTACTTGGAGTTTACGGCCCAAGAGGTGTTCCTTGGCCGTAAACTCCCTTTAAGGGATGTTCTTGATGTCTTTTACTCTCCATTCAAGTCCTAGGTGTTCAATGGTAATTGTCTTAAGGCCTTAGGGGTGTTTGGAGTGCTTTTAACCCTTGGAAAAGGGGTTTACGGCCCAAGAAATGTTCTTGGCCGTAAACTCCTATAAACTTATGATTTTGAAGTGTTTTGATGTCTAAAATAGTCACAAGCATATGAGGGTTAAAGTCCTTAGGCTTAAGGGGTGAGTTAGGGCACATTTGTCCCTTGGAAATGGGGTTTACGGCCCAAGAAACCCTTGGCCGTAAACTCCAAAAGTCTTGTGATCTTGGATGATTTTGGACATGTAACAATGTTATAAAGCATATAACAAGTATTAAAACACATCTAGGGAAGTAGACTCACAATTTGGGATGAAAACCCGAAGATCCGTGAGAGAGTATTTGGCTTTTCCTCTAATTGGAAATCAAATAATGAACCAATTGGGTTCAGAATTCTATTTATAGTCCTGAGATTTTTAGCAGAAAATATTTCTATTCTCGGAATGGATTCTAATGACCTAGAGTAATGGAATTACAATGTTTCACCAAACCCTAGTGCAACCACTCTCCTAATATCTCTTGAGGTGTAAAACCCTAAAGCTGCCAAACTTATTCCAAAAGTTTGAATTTTCACTGTAACTGCTCTACTACTATTGGATTGAAATGGTTTGATTTAGAATGGAAATTTCGGGTTGTCACACAAAGCGAGAGAATATTTGTATAAGGATTTTCCCAAACATTTTACATGGAATCGGAGCAACCATTGTTGGAGGATCCGGGAACATAAATCAATGGTTGGTCGACTTGTTTATGCTAATCCAGCTGAAGGAGAGAGATACCACCTACGCCAGCTTTTATGTCATATCACCGGGCCTACCTGCTTTGAAGATTTATACACAGCAAATGGTGTATTACACCCTACATTTCGAAAAGCAGCTCTTGAAAGAGGTTTAATAGAGACGGATGATAATTTATCAAAGTGTCTTGAAGAGGCTTCCTTATTTCAATTTCCCAGCGCACTTAGAAGGTTATTTGCGACGATGCTGATTTTTTGTGAACCAGGAAATGTTCGCAAGTTATGGGACGACCACTATGATTCTCTTTTTGAAGATTACAGGAAACAATATGGATGCGCCGAGCGAGTGCAAAATATGGTCCTCATCGACATTAGAGTCTTCCTAGAATCTATGAGTAAAAAGCTTAGTGATTACGACCTTCCAAATGTCAGTGCACACATCGATTTACAATCAAGAGGCTATTGTGAGGTGCAAGAAGAATACTCTATAAATGTGGAATATGAAGACTTACATGCGCGAGACTCTCTCAATCCAGACCAGAAGTTTGCATATGATGAGATAATGAGGCATGTGGATCAAAATATTCCGGGTGTCTTCTTCATAGATGGTCCCGGTGGAACTGGAAAGACATTTTTGTACAAAGATTTGTTGGCTAATATTCGTGCTCGTGGTCTTATTGCACTTGCAACTGCCACGTCAGGTGTTGCGGCTAACAACATGCCAGGAGGGAGAACAGCTCATTCACGATTTGGAATGCCGCTCAATCTTGATAATAACTCGATGTGGAAGATCACTAAACAAAGTGGGAAGGCTCAGATACTTCGCGAGGCAAAGGTAATCATATGGGATGAAGCAGCAATGGCTAAGAGGCAGGCAGTAGAAGCAGTTGATCGCACAATGCAAGACATCACAGATGAGAAGCTCCCTTTCGGTGGAAAGATAATGGTTATGGGAGGTGACTTTAGATAAGTGTTACCGGTCGTGAGACGTGGCACTTGAGCACAAATTGTCGACTCTAGCTTACGAATGTCACCTCTATGGGCTTCAGTTAAAAGGCTTCGATTAAGTATCAACATGAGAGCGGTAAATGACCCATGGTTTTCTGATTTTTTATTACGAGTCGGTGATGGAAAGGAGGAAACATTGGACGAGTCCTATATCCGTATACCTGATAACATGTCCATTCGGTACACTGATAAAATTAAATTAGTGGACGCTCTGATTGATGCAATATTTCCTTCTTTGGAATCCAACGGCGCCGACTCAAAATTTATCATTTCGAGGGCGATATTGTCAACTAAAAATGAAAGTGTTGATGAGATTAATAATAAGTTGATCGAACGATTTTCTGGCGAGCAAAAAGTTTACTATAGTTTTGATGAAACGGAAGATGACAAAAATAACTTATATCTGATGGAGTATTTGAACTCGCTAAATGTTAGTGGTATACCCCCTCATTATCTTCGGTTAAAAACTGGGTGCCCTGTAATACATTTGCGAAATATCGATCCTTCAAATGGGTTATGTAATGGCACCAGATTGATATGTCGAGCTTTCCAACAAAATGTCATTGATGTAGAGATAGCTGTTGGCCAACATGTTGGAAAAAGAGTGTTTTTACCAAAAATTCCCCTATGTCCGTCTGACGATGAGATGTTCCCATTCAAACTTAAGAGAAAGCAGTTTCCAATTCAGCTTAGTTTCTCTATGACAATCAATAAAGCTCAAGGACAAACAATTCCAAATGTAGGTGTTTATCTACCAGAATCGGTATTCTCACATGGCCAACTTTATGTGGCGTTGTCCAGAGGAATATCACGTGTCAATACCAAGGTATTAGTAAAGCCAGAAAAAACGTTTGATAATGATGGAATCTACACATCAAACGTTGTGTACAAAGAAGTGTTATGTGATTAACAAGGTACAATCAACAACTTATTATTTTACAATTTATTCAAATATGTATCTTAGATGCTTATTTGATGTTTAATGCAGGGCTAGCAGATGAAACAACATGATTGCAGATTGGTGTAGCTTACATATTGGATATGTTATAAATGTACAAAACTATATGGTTGCAGATTGTTGTCATTTATATATTGTAAAATCAAGTATGAACTATCAGATAAATTATTTGAGATGTAGACTCAATTTTTGTCGTATTGTATGACTATGCATCTAGCAAGAAACTATATGTTGAAATGAACTATTCGACACAAAATAGTCTACCAAATGGCCGCAATGAATAACTCACGTGTAAAGGAAACTAATCATCACATTAAAACTATCTTTCGAAATAAATTTTTTGCCGTCCGACGCTTAGCGCGGGTAAACGGCTAGTATATATATATATATATATATATATATATATATATATATATATATATATATATCAAGCATGTTTATAATATCACAATGTTGCAATGATAATATAATCGAAGGGTTCCACATGTGTTCAAATGTTCAATCGTCCAAAACCCTTGATCATGTTCCATTTGGGCAATGGAACATGAAGTACACATTATGAGGATAAATTACAGAAAAGGTCCATGTAGTTTGATGGAATTTGTAGTTTTGGTTCCTAAGGTTAACATTTGAGAGTTTGTGAATATTACTCAACAGGTCATTGGTCCATATTGGTCCATATAAAAGATCAAATTACCTATTCTTTCTATTCTTTCTTTTTTAGTTTTCTTTTAAATAAAATTGAAAAAATGCTTGATGTAGTATGTATTTTTTTTGAGTTTTAGGTAAAACCTTGATTTTTTTAGATTGATGGTCCTTTTAACCATGTTTGCTTTTTTTAGATTGATGGTCCTTTTAACCATGTTTGCTTGTGATATTAGTCTCTCACAAAATTAAAAAAACTAAAATATCCTTGATGTATTTTTTATATTTTTATATTTAATTTAAAGGAAAATAAAAATAAATAACTAATTTAGAACCAAATCTCTCTCTCAAACATCACAACGAACCCAAATATCGACCCATTGTTATAGCAAATGTCGATTTCTCTCATTCGTATCTCATCGACCGAAGGAAAAGACCGACAGACTTCACACCGGCCACCACCTCCCTCCGCCCCCTTCTATCGAGTCACTCCAGCCATCACCGGTGCCACTTCTTCCCTCCTTCGTCTCCGCTGGTAGAAGACCAAACAGAAGCAGCAGAGGCTGTCGGGGCTCCTCCCTCCGTCACCCACTCCCTCCATCGAAGCTCTGAAACCCAGTGATACTTTCACACGCCGCCATAATTCTGCCACCCCAGCAGAACAAACCAAAATGGACAAATTTGTTGGCTTCTCGAGTCTCGATTCACTCATTGACGCCACTATACCTAAATCGATCTGCCTTAATTCCATGAAGTTCCCCAAATTCGATGAAGGCTTACCCTAATCCCAAATGATTGCACATATGTAAGAATTAGCTTCCAAAAACAGGGTTTATAAGTCGTTTAATCGTATGGGGGTATTACAACACCTCTATTCCTCCTGTGATTTTGAGGAACATTATGGAAAACCCTGGTTGGTACACTCAATGCACTCCACACCAGGCTGAAATTGCACAGGGAAGGCTCGAATCCCTGCTTAATTTCCAAACATGGGTAATAGATATTACTGGTTTACCCATGTCACATGCTTCATTACTCGATGAAGGAACCCCAGCTACAGAAGCCATGACGATGTGCAATAACATCCAGAAGAATAAGAAGAAAACATTCATCATCGTAAGCAACTGCCACCTACAAACGATCGATATCTGTAAAACCATAGCAGATGGTTTCGATCTTAAAGCGATCACATCAGATCTGAAAGATTTCGATTACTCTTCTGGTGAAGAAGATGGATCGGGGTAGCTTTTGACTCTATGGAGAGAGAGAGAAAGGGGGTGGACCCCATATTTTTAATTAATAAAACATTAAATTAAATAGAAAAAGGGAAAAAAAACGCAATGAAACTAGCAACGAAACTAGCTCAAAATGATCACGAATCCGAAAAAGTAATTTCACAATATATTATTGTTTTATTATGTTTACTTTAATAGACCTAATATAGATTATTTATAAAATTATTTTTATTTTTTAAATCAATCATCATAATTAATATTATTATTTATTTATTGCTTTATTTATTTATCTTTGTTTTTGTGGTTTAAAAATCTTGTAATATTTTTGATGTTTAATTTAAATATATTACTTAATGTTTTGTTTTGTTTTTTTTACGTTTTGTTTGTTTAAATTGTATAATGATTTTTCTAACTTTTTTCGAGTAAAAAAATTAAAACAATAATCCGATCACTATCAGCCTTCCAATAAAATTATTTAATGTTTATTTTTTAAGGATATATATATATATATATATATATATATATATATATATATATATATATATATATATATATATATATATATATATATACACGTTTTGTTTGTTTAAATTATATAATGATTTTTCTGACTTTTTTCGAGTAAAAAAATTAAAACAATAACCCGATGACTATCAGCCTTCCAATAAAATTATTTAATGTTCATTTTTTAATGATATATATATATATATATATATATATATATATATATATATATATATATATATGCTTAGGTTATTATATTCTAACTAATTATTGTATGGATGTAGGAATGATTGTGGGCTAACCATTTTACTTATTTTAAGAAATGAATTAATACATATTATTGAATTAAATATAATTGAAAAATATCATCTAATTTAATTACAAGGGTATTTTAGTTAATTAATATAGATTTAATAAAGGAAAATTGCATATTTTAAGGGATCATAGATTCTATTAATTTTAAAAATCCGATTTTACGAATTATAATTCTTTTAATTTGGATATTCTGACAGAATATGTTTATGAGTTTATTCAAAAATAAAAATATTTTTGAATCATAAAATAATAAAAATATTTTTGAACCTATTTCCTGATCATTACTTTAAAAACTTTTTGTAGAATAACAAATTCTTGAACCATCATGTAACATCCCAGAATTCAAGACCAAAATTTCGTTTTTGATTAATTAAGAACCGCTTAATAAATTTTTGTTCAAGCATTTAACAACGTTCTTAATATAAAAATTATCAGAGTTTAAAATCCCAAAGATCATCTAGTGTTGAAAACGTGGTGTGATGCGCTGCGATCACCCCGAGCTCCTTCCTTGGAAAAACCTTAGTACCTGAAACAATAGCTGAAAACCATAAGTACGAAGCTTAGTGTGTTCCCTAGATACCACATACCATACATTCCAACTGATCCATACATACCATACATAACCATGAGGCATACATAACAAACATATCCATAATCAAGTAAGGTGCTATGTGCCAAACATAGTCTTACTGTTATGCCACGGGCCACACATAGTCTTCCTGGTCAAGCCTAGGTCCACTCCTTGGGTCTTACAGACATGTGCTAAGGGCCACCCCTGGTCTTCCATGCAAGCATCACAAAGGCAACTCTACATACTACTCTACTACGCTACTCCACATATAGTGTTCCAGGAGCCACCTCCTGGTCTTTCATACGTAATAGCATATAGTACGCCAGGAGCCACCTCCTGGTCTTTCATACATAATAGCATACAGTGATCCATGAGCCACCTCCTGCTCTTTCATACATAATAGCATACAGTGCGCCAGGAGCCACCTCCTTGTTTTTCATACATATTGCCTAGGGCTAACCCTCGGGTCTTCCTGCCATACATAATAACATATTGTGTGCCAGGAGTCGTCTCCCAGTCTTTCATGCATAATGCCTAGGGCTAACCCCCGAGTCTTCCTACCATACATAAACTAAATAGGCTGATATTATGACCATAGACCCATACAAACAGTGAGGAGACTTACCTCACACTGCCGAAGATTCGATGACACTTTTGACTGCTAATCGACACTTCTGAACTGCTGACCCTTCGACTTCCCGAAGTATCAATACCCAATCAACATTTAGACAATAATAATCCAAAAGTCAAACCTGGTAAAACTTGGTCAAAGTCTATGGTCAAAGTCAACATCCAGTTGACTTGACCAAGTTGGGATACCAACTCATCGAGTCCATACTCCTCCAACCCCTTACAACCCGAATCCACTCGTCGAGTCTAGTAATAACTCGATGGGTTCTCCTTCAATCACAAAATCGGGACCTACTTCACCCGTCTCGCCGGGTTCATCCTTGAACTCGTCGAGTTCATCATCCACATATGAATGTGTCTAGTCTGTGACTCGCCGAGTTCTTACTTGAGCTCGCCGAGTATGATGAACTTCATGACTATTATGGACTCCGGCCGACTGAGTCCCTTTCCAAGCTCACTCATACCTTTAACAGAAGGGTTTTAGGGCAAGAACTGGCCTGACTCGTTGAGCCCCACAACTGAATCGCCGAGTCTCTCTATGTCCAACACTATTCAGATGATTTCAGACAAGCTCAAGGCATCCAAGACCCAGATTTGGCCTCCTAGGGTCGGGATATCACACGAAGCTGTTACCTTTGCACTCTTGCATGGCCCTTTTTGCTCAAAAGGGCATAATAACCACTTAAACTTTTCATGGAGAGGTATAATGGCATAAAGCTTCCCTTTTATGCCTCTACTACTCTTAACACCTCTAAATATGGAAGGATCTAGCTTGGGGACGTCCAAATCCCACAAGACATCCTACTTGAACCATAAACTCCATAAAAATGGACATAAAGAGATCTATCAAACTAGAAGTCAAGGTGAGAACTTGATTACCAGAAAATGAAGATGAAGAAGCAAACTTCCTGGATCTACAACCTTTTTCTTGGACCTTCAACCTCTTTCTTCTTCTTCTAGACTTCAAGAACACTCTAAATCCTTCAATAAGGCTCACACACTCAAAGAGAACACTAGGGTTTCGTGGGACAGGTTCTGGACAATGGAGGCTACAAATGAGGCTGATTGAATGAGAATAAGATGCTTAAATAGGGCACCAACTCCCGATTTAGTGTCACACCCCAAAACCAAGAACGGCGGAAACGTTCTGGGGCGGAGGACGTCATGTAAGTATCACAACACAGTAAATGTAAATAAGCAAACAACATCATCCATTGCATTAAATATATAATCTTAATACAAGCATGTTCTGTACAGTATAGACACCAAAAATAACGTATATCAAAATAATAAGATGAGTCTTGAATGCGCTCCATCTTCTCAAAAGCTGGCCTCGGTACCTGTCTACTGATGACCTGATAATACAAGTTATTTTGAAAGAGTTTATCAGCATTAAGCTGGTGAGTTCATAAGTATTTTAGTGTCGGTATTTGTCATTCAAAAATGTTTGAACATGTATCAAGTATAAGTTTGTAAAATGTATGTAAAGGTTTGCAATTATTTGTAAAAGTTTGAATCTCTCAGAAAAACCTATATTTTCTATTAAAGTAGCCTTCTACCAAGGCTTAACTGTTTTGTATGCTCGTTTGATGTAAAAGTGTGTAATTTCCTAAATGTAACTATCATTTAACAAAATATAGTTTGTACATAAACGTTTAAGTGAGGTTATCACTAAAAATATGTAATGGTTAAATCATTGTAGTACTGTAGCCTTGTATTATAAGAACTACTGTTGTACTAACTACCTTAAACCGGATTTATATTAAGGCATTACGTGATAAATTGCACCATACTATTGACAAGTAACAACGACATAATGAATGGTCGTAATAACGGAATGACGTTTGGCACCCGCAGACCTGCAGGTCCGGCTGTAGCTAGCAGCAAGGTGTAGGATTGTCAATCCAGTATAGATCTATACGCAAACTCACGGTCTCCCTTCAAGAGAATTCTGGCTACAACTCGAGCCATGACAGTTAAGTCATGCTCCGATTTAAATCACAATAATAAAGTATTCATGTATATGTACTGTTTCTCGTTCTAGTATAGTTGTATATGTATTGTTTCTAGCATCATTGTATGTATTGTTTCTAGCATCATTGTATATGTATTGTTTCTAGCATCATTGTATATGTATTGTTTCTATCATCATTGTATATGTATTGTTTCTAGTATAGTTGTATATGTATTGTTTCTAGCATCATTGTATATGTATTGTTTCTAGTATATGTATTGTTTCTAGTATATGTATTATGTTACCCCGATGGTAACTAGCTATTGATGTACTGGTAAATATGAATATGGAAGTACTTTTTATGTCTATACATGTATATATGATATATAATTAATATAGAAACGACCCTCGGATGGTCACCCGAAATCCCACCAGACCACATCTCAGTGCGCGAAAAGGAAATAGGGCGGATGGCCTTCCTAAGCCCTTTAAACATTATATATATATATATATATATATATATATATATATATATATATACATATATGGGCATGCAATTTATAAGAAGTAAAATAAAGTTTAATAACAGCATTTGATAAGTAAAAAGAGTTTGTAAAAACATTTGAAGTGAAACAGTTTGATAAACAGTTGAACAGTGATAAAATCATTGGTTTTCTAGTTATTAATCACATGTGATTAATGCAATCACATGTGATTAATGCAATCACACGTGATTGATGTAATAACCATAAGTATTTGATTTGTATTCCCCCCATAAAGTATTTAAAACATTTAAAAGTATTTCAAAGGTTGATTAAAGGGGTATAAACTAACTTGAGGTGAGTAGATTGAATTGATGTATCGGGTACCGTGCTAAGTGGCAAACGGAGACTTGTTTACACGTTCGAGCCTAGTTATCATATAATAAGCATATATATAACTAATTAGCCAATTAATAACTTATCAAAGTAAGTTAAGACACTTAGGAACATGTATACACTTTATATAAGTGTTATAGGTCCTAATGGTTGCATCT